CAAAATGGGAGAGTAATAGCCTATGTGTCATGGCAATTAAAGGAGTACGAGTGAAACTACCCGACACATGACCTAAAATTAACGGCGGTAGTCTTTGCCCTAAAAATCTGGAGACATTATTTGTACGCGGTAAAGTGTAAGATATACACGGATCATAAGAGCTTATAATACATCTTCACACAAAAAGGAGCTGAACATAAGACAAAGAAGGTGGTTAGAGCTGGTAAAGGACTATGACTATATAATCAACTACCACCCGAGTAAAGCCAATGTTGTTGTTGATACCTTGAGAAAGAAATCAATCGCTGTGGTGTGGGTGACCCGGACACCGATAATGAAGGACCTACAAACACTGGAACTAGAAATAGTTCCTATCGGCCACGGGAGCATGCTATCAACACTATTAATCTAGTTGATGCTACAAGAAAGAATTCGAATTGACTAAGAAAAGGATGAAAAGCTAAAGGAATTGAAGGAAGGCATAGAGGCCGAAGTAGAGTCCGATTTTACGATAGATGATAAAGGAATGATTAGATTCAAAGGAAGGATGTGTGTTCTCATAGTGGAGGACATAAAAGATGAGGAACTGAAGGAAGCACACACGACCCCATATTCAATACACCCGGGGAGTACGAAAATGTATCGGGATTTACGACAGTATTATTGGTGGCCCGGAATGAAGAAAGATGTAGCCGACTTTGTCGTAAGGTGTCAAACTTCCCAACAAATGAAGACGGAGCACCAAAGACCCTCGAGAACGTTAAAGCCACTAGTAATTCCATAATGGATGTGGGAGCATGTAACTCTGGACTTCGTCATGGGATTGCCAAGATTAGATAGAGGGTCAATTGTCGTCCGGGTAGGCGTAGACAGGTTGACCAAATCAGCATACTTTCTTCCTGTCAAAACCACCTATGACCTAAACCAATATACCCAATTGTATCTAGATAAAATCATGAGACTACATGGGATTTCGATCTCAATTGTGTCAAATCATGATCTTAAATTCACCTTCGCATATTGGAAGAGTATTCATAAGGCCATGGGCACCAAGCTCAATTTCAACATGGCTTATCATCCACAAATCGATGAAAAATGCGAACGTGTAATTCGTATTCTTAAAGATATGCTACGAGCATGCATTCTAGATTGGTCTAAAAAGTGAGAGAAATACATACGCTTAGTTGAATTTACGTATAACAATGTTACCAAGCTTCAATTGCGATGGCTCCTTATGAGGCTTTGTATGGCAACGATGTAGATCTCTCGTGCATTAGGATGAAATAGGAGAAAGAAGGTTGCTAGGACCAGAATTGGTACGATGAGACGACCAAAGTAGTAGACCGGATCCGCCAATGGATGAAACCAACCTAAAAAAGATAAAAAAGTTACATAGACAAACGGAGGAAGGATTTAGAGTTCATGGTCGGTGATTACGTATTTTTAAGAGTCACCAATGAAGGGTGTACTACGGTTTGGGAAGGGGAAATTAAGCCCACAATACATAGGCCCATTTGAGATAATAGATCGGGCAAGTGATAAGGCATATCGCTTATTGTTACCGCCATCATTAGTAGGAATACAAAATATGTTTCACGTGTCTATGTTGAAGAAATGCATCGAAGAATCGAGGCAAATTCGGACATAGAACCACCGGGCCTTACCATAGATTTAACATATGAGGAAAGACCGGTCCGAGTCCTGGATAGACGGGTAAAATGACTTCGAAACAAGGAGATTGATCTGGTTAAAGTCTTGTGGACAAATCATGACGTCGAAGAATTGACTTGGGAACGTGAAGAAGAAATGAGGGATAAATATCCCGAATTGTTTGAATAAGTCAATTTTGAGGATGAAATTCTTTTAATGGAGAGAGAATGTAACCCCAGTGAAATTTTTACATATGTTAAAATGTTTCTAAACATGTTTATATGGAGTATAAGTAATAGTATGGATGGGTTCAAAAGAGTTTTTTTTTAATGACGGTATGTTCGACGATTACGTCGGAAATAACAGGAGGAAACATTTTGGATAATTTAGGTAATTATCCTTTGGGGTATTTCTAAGTGTTTGGAATGCATGATAATGATAAGAAATTTATTTTATAATTCTAGGAACATTGGGATCTTATTTGAGAAAATTTCTGAATTAATTAAAAGAAATTTTTTGAAATGTAGAGTTAGATTCTATCCGACGTTTGCATGATTTATTTAAGGACCTTAAAGTGCTTTTTGGGTAAACCTCAAAGAATGAAAGTTGTTTCACTATGTGTTCCCTAGCTCTCTATAAATGTTCATAATATTTGGATCTATACATTCAGATTTATGTCCATTATGGTGAGGGTCATTTCGAAATATACTCTGCTGGAATTTCGGGAAAAGAATTCCAAAAATCCCAAAATATAAATTTCATAATTATATATATATAAACCAATTTGGAATGAGTTAGCTGAGACCAAGTTAGACACCTAGACTCACTTATTAATTACACTTGATGACTCCTCATTTCTTTTAAGATAAACAAGCCCCTTAATCACCATTTACTTTCCACCATGGTTCATTATTTTAAGACACTTGTATGAAATAATTCAAATGAAGGCTAGTATATAAGCTGAAAAAGTGTGATATATGGTTGATTTGGGAAGTGAAAACCATAGCTTACCACAAAAAGGGAGAGAAACCAATTGTGAGGGAGTGAAACACGACAAAAGAGAGGACAGAAAGGAAAGAAAAAGAGAAAGGGAAAAAGGGAAGGAAAAGAGCTAAGGAAATTCTAATCAAACTTAAACTAGGTAAGTAGGTTCCATTTTGTTTTTGTTTGATTAATGTCTTAAATTATTTTTCTTAAGTTATTTTGTCGGTGTTTATTTCATGGGTTTGTAATAATTTTCAATGGTTATATGCTTGATGTTTGGGATGCATCTATGTATGGATGCCTTGTTGTGATGATTTATGATGTTTATGATGTTTTGAAAAATGTCCAAGTATGTGGTGATGGGTTGGATTGGACTTGGACTAAATTTAAGTGAACTAAAACATGTTTAAAGTGGGCTTGGAATGAACTAATAAATTAGTGGAGAAACATGTCATCACATGCATCACGTGCATTGGGGGTGGAATAAATTGAGAAAAATCATTGAGTCATGAAATGACACGGTTTGGTATCCGAATTGAGTGGAATGGGTAATAGCAAGGAATCCATAGTGCGAGCTCTATTACTAACACTATTAAGCGAGGGATAATTCCACTAACGGTGTGATATAATGAGGGGTAATTCTATTGTGAGTAGTAGGTGATAGTGAGATCACCGAGAGAGAGTAATAGAGTAATAGGTGATAATGCAATCATCGAGAGATGGAACGCACGAACTTGCTAATACCTAGGGTACCCGAATTAAAAATGGATGGGTAGAATGGGAAACAAAAACTTCATTGCATATCACGTGCATCACCTTACTTGCCGAGCTTTGGCTCACCTTGTTGTTATTTTTATGTCGTGACGGGGAAAGGACAAGTTGGTACGGATGCGGTGGCTCCTCCTAATTGGCTTATGTGAGGTACCATATATTATTTTTTATTTTGTACGTAAATTTTAGATATGGAGTTCTTGAGAAATTGAATATTGCACTGTAATGTTTTATTAATGTATTTAATTATGTTATGTAAATTTTATCTTAAGGAATTATATATGTAATGTGTTGTTAAAGTTTTAAGAATATCATAAGAGAACTACTTAGAGTTTAAAATATATTAGCGTAACGCGCTTCGTCCAATACCCTATTTGGCTAGTAGAAATATGATTAGGGTGGGGGCGCTACAATATCCCTCTCTCATCCCCTCTCTCTCTCTCTCTCCCTCCCACCCCATCTCCCTCTCTCTCTATCCCTCTCTCCTATTCTCCTCCCTCTCTTCCTTGCTCTCTCTTCCTCTCCATCCCTCTCTCCCTCTTTCTTTCTCTTTCCCTTTCTCCCCTTCTCCCTCTCCTTTTTTTTCATTCTCCCTTTTCCTCTCCCTCTCTCCCACTATCTCCCCCACTCTCCCTCTCCCTCTATCTATCTCTCCCTCTCTACCCCCTCTCTCCCCCTCTCTCTTCCTTTCTATCTCTTTCTCGTCTCTTTCCCATTCACTCTCTCCCTCTCTTTGTCTATCCTCTCCCTCTCTCTCTCTCTCTCTCTATCCCTCTTTTTTGTTAGTGTAGGTGGCCAGAATCCAATCTTGTTTGGATGGTTTAACTTATTTTAATATTGCATTCTTTATTTTTTTAATAAAAGAAGTCTTTCTATTAATTTTTGTCATATATATTTTGATAAAATTAGATAGAAGTCCATATGATATGCATTGCATTATTGATTAATCGAAAGATGTGAGACAAATATTAATGTACTTAAATGATATCATTAAATATCCCAAGTTATAGCATTGTCAAGAATAAACATTAACTATATGCGATAAGACTTGTGAGTGCTTTGTTCTTGCTATAAGATAGTAGTTGGAGATCTCAAACCTATTGAGATGATTATTAATGTTATAGAACACCTAACTCACCATGAGAACCCATTTGGTTTAGTGTATGGGAATCTCATACGAGATGGGTAAAACTAGTCCTTTGACTTGAATTCATCATGATTATCTCATTAGAGGATTTACATGCTTTGAAACTTGTTTTTATAGGCTCAATTATGAGATATATATGGGTGATTCATTAGATGCACTAGGAACTAATGGAGATCGATGGTTGAACATGATAGGATATATCATTCCTTATATGCTAAAGGAGTTATCACATTGCATTTCAATGATTGTCTACTTAAAGAATCTATGGTAATAGTGGGAGTATACTAATAGACCATAGTTGATTTACTCTAGAGCTAAGACATTTAAAAATCTAAGAAAAATTATGTGATCATAATTGAATAGGCTATAAACCAAGTCCGAGATCAAGCTGTGACAATTTGATATGAGGACTCGAATTGCATGTTAACCATGCTCTTCTTATTCTTACCCCGAAAATCGATCGAAAACATAGTACGCTTTTTTTTTTTGTCGGTTAACCCACTTTTGAGTTCTTCTAGTAATTCTGGTTTGATACTATTTGTAATGATTCTTTCATATTGAGTAATTTTGTCTAGTGGCATTCGATCACGGAATCCACTTCGACCCTTTGAGTCGGTCATGGGGCAACGACCTCCGACGCCCCCACACCATTTCGAAAAGAGGGGGCTTGCCCATCAGCCTACTTTGCCAAGAGGTGGCGAGGATCGCACCAAGAATAAAAGAATTGCTTGGATAGCTTTGCAAACCATCGTAGCCTAAAATGGAAAAAAAGAAAGTGGTATGGGGCAAATACGACCTTAAGTAGATATTGGAAATTGGCGATGCAAGTGCGAAAGACCAAGCTATAATTGTATATTAATTAATCCTCCTAAAGAATTAGGTAGTCGGGATGCCTTGCTAGAGGCTAATATTGATTTATGTATCAAAAGATAAAAGAGGTTTCTTTTATTCTTGATATATTGCCAATACATCTAGGAGTCCATCGAGTCACATGAATAAGTTCAAGCATTCACATAATAAAAGAGAAGCAAAGATTTTGGAAAAATTTTCCTAAAAAGAAGGTTTTCTATTTTGGAAAAGGTTTTTGAAAATGGAAAGTTTCTTGTTTTTCAAAAATTTTTTCTAAAATAGAAAGTGTAACCCTCGTGAGAAGTGTTGACCATATACATATCCATATCGGAATATTCATAGATACAAATACTACGTATGTGTGTGATTTACGTGACATTTTCATTTTTTTATGGTATTTCACTATTTTGGTGGTATTAATATAATGGTGATTATAGGAATATTTTGGTGTTTATGTAACAATTTAGGGGGAAATTTTTGGATAAGTTAGTTAGTATGCCATGACATGGAAAATTTTTCCTTAATTGGAGAGGGCCAAAATTTGGGAGTAAAGCTACAATTTGTAGGCTAAAATACCCTTAAGATTATGTTTAATGCCATTACCCATCCTTCAAACTCAACTTGACACCTAAGCTTCTCCATTCTTCCATTTGACTTCCACTCGATCCTTTTTCCTTCCAAACTCGCCACCTAGCCTTCCATGGTCTTCCATCACTTTCCACCATGTCATCTTAGTTTTTGACACTTGTTTTGGTATTTAATAAAGGAAGAAAGGTGGACATATATATATATATATATAAGAGGGTGAATGGCCGGCCACACTTTAGCCATTTTAGCTCACCAAAAATTTGAGAGGAAACCAAAATGAAAGAGAGAAAAATGGAAAAGAAAAAGGGGGAAGAAAGAAAGATGAAAAGAGAAGAAAATAGTAAGGGATTTTCTATCACATTTGAACTAAGTAAGTAGGTTTTATTTTATGTCCTAAAATTTTGTTTTTATGTGTTTCTTTTATGTGGTTCACTTGTAACATTGGTTATGTTGTTATAAGTTGTTTGTCTTGGTATGATGTCTTGATGGTTTGTTATGGATCTTTTGTTGGACTTGTATATGTGATGACTTGTTAAAGCTTATAAAGCTTTGTGTATGTCCAAGTATGTGGTGATAGGGTTGGTATAAATAAAGGAGGGCTTCGACCGAAATTTGGTTGGATGAAACTATGGTTAAGATGGACTTAAAAAGGCATGAGTTTCCTAGGCAACCCATTCGGCCTACATACCTAAAAGGGGAAAGATTGGACCTTTGTATGAATTTAAGAATGTTGGACTTAATTGTAACTCAAATAAGTAAATTAGGATGAAAAAAAACTCCATTAGAATGAAAGAAAATCTCTTGTCACGCTTTGAGGAACCATTCGGCCTAAACCCTAATTTATAGGATTTGAGTTCCACTCATCCAAATTGATTATTAATGGTTCAATTAGACCTAAATATATATAAATTAAAGTGTAGAAATGTTAGACTTCAAGGAACATGGAAATTTCGGCTTAGACTAGGAACCATTAGGCCTAAACCCTAATTTTTAAGAATTGAGTTCCACTCATCCAAATTGATAAGTAATGGTTCAATTAGATGTCAATATATATAAATTGAAGTGTAGAAAGGTTGGAATTCAAGGAAAATGGAAAATTCAGCTTAGATTGGTTAGGAGCTAAATTCGGCCATCCATGCCAAAATACGGGCTAAGAAAGATATTCCACTTTCAAAGTAATTTAAATTAGATTGAAAGGCTAATATTTACATAAGCTAAGTGTAGGTCAAATTTTAGGCTCGGACTTCCTAATTATATGAAGGGAAGGCACTTATACATGAAATAAAGTTTAGATCGAATACAAATTGGTGATAATTATACTTTTGATGGATACGATGAATGGGTTGAGAAGATAGGGTTTGGTAACCATGATTACATGAATGTGATAATGAAAACATCATGTGCATCATATGCATTTAGGGGTGGACTGTTTGAATTGAGCAAGAACATGTGATTAAGAATTGATGAGGTTTGGTAACCAAAGCTTGGATTAAATGGGTATTAGTAACAAAGTCGTGTGCATGCTCGTATTAGTTGATTACATCGTTAGGTGATGGATAATCCCGCTAACCATGTCCTACAATGAGGGATAATTCTACTATTAGCGGTAGGTGATTTGGTAATCAACGAAAGATGAAAATAGAGCAAACTTGCTAATACTTAGGGTACTCAAACTAAATTTGATAGGGAAAGGCGGAGTAATAGCAAAGTACTTCATATCACATGCCTCACCCTACTTACCGAGCTTTGACTCATTCCGTTGTTGTCAATGTGTGGTGTAACAAATAAGGGCAAGGATAATTCGATTGAGGATGTTGTCGATTCTCACTAAAAGAGGCTCATGTGTCACTTGAGAATGTAGAAATCACTTTTGTTTGTAAATAGGAGGTATGGTGTCTATTAGTGGATAAAGGACATCTTAGATATTTTGTAATTTTCTCGTAACTATATTTATTAACGGTATGTAAATTGTAGTGTACACACCCATGGTTATGTATTTATGGAAGTGAGCTGAGATTTTAGTCTTAACGACGTAACGAACCTAGCCATACCTCTTAGGAAATTGGTAAAAGGAGCTGGTGGCATTATAGAAAGTTTTCAATTTTAGAAATCGGTTTTTAATTTGGAAGTTAGTTCCAAATTTGGAAATAACTTACCTAAAAAGGAAATTAGTTTCCCGATTTAAGTTCAAGGGTATTTTGAAAACTCGTTTCCTAATATGGGCTTGCTAAAAATATCTAATCCAATTTATTTAGATAGTCCAAAGTAATCGATAATTAATTAGGCCAAAAGAGTTTGGGCTGATATGCTTAATTTAAAAGCCTATAAGATATTTTGGTTAGAGGATATGAAGGATCATGCATCTTATGGAGGTGCGAAATAAACAAAAAAAATTTCTCTATCTAAGGCCCAAGATTAAGTCGTTGAATCTATTAACCATACATACATGAATTTAAAACAATGAATTTAGAATTATGTCTTGTAACATATATCCAAATTCTTTTAAAAAAAGCCATCTAATTGTCCGACCTCTATTGATGATCCACACGAGTCTAAGTATCCATAAAGAAGCACTCAAAATGATTAGGGTGCTAGCTCTATTTTTTTTATTTGTGTAGTGTTTCCAATAAAAATCAATCTCGAGCAATTTGGTGACAACCATAAAAGAGAAGGAAAGAGTATATTTGTGCTAGGGCTTTTGAAAAAAACTATTTTTCCTTTTTCTTCACTTTGTCTGTGTGCCCTAGATAGCTTTTAGGACTAGCCAAATTTGTCATTTTCCTTTCTCTTTTTGCTTAGTTGCTGCACCTCTCTCTCCCCTTATATAGGAGAGTTTCTTTGTCCTCCAAGAACAAGGAAAAGGGCGACATTAAGTGTCTTTTTGGACTCTAGGTTATTGCTTCCTTATCCTCCAAAGATGAGAAGTTATTTCTACTAGTGGACCTTTTTTCATTATCTTCATCCTTATCCAATAAGGTTGATATTTATCCTCTCACCACAATATCTTAAGATTTTTAATTAAACATAATGGGCTAAAACCATTTTAGCCCAATTAAGTTATTTCAACTATCCAAATAAATAATCTTAGATTATTTTAGGTGAGTCCACATTAGGAAGAATTTTTTAAAATACCCTTTAACCTAAATTAGGAAACTCATTTCCATTTTGGGTTATTTACTTACAAATTTGAAACTAACATGGTTCCAAATTAGGAAGCCGATTTCTAAAATATTAACTTTCAATTTTAGTAAACTTTCCATCTTGGAAACCCTTTCCAAAATAGAAAACTTTCATAATTGGAAACTTTTTCCAATATTTTTCTTCTCATTTATAATGTGAATACTTAATTTTATGCGTGACTCAATAGGCTCCTAGATGTGTTGACAATATATCAAGAATAAAAGACTTCTCTTTTATCTCTTGATACATAAATCAAGATTAGCTTCTAGTAAGGCATCATGACTACCCAATTTTCTAGGAGGATTAATTAATTCATTATTACCTTTACGAGCATAGTTTCAACTTATCATAATGTGATCTCGAACTTGGTTATAAGGCTTGTTCGATTATGGTCACACAAGTTTTCTTCGCTTCCCAAATGTCTTAGCTCTTAGAGTAAACCAATTATGCTCTATTTTTTTACTCCTACTATGGCCATAGAATTCTCAAGTGGACATTCATTGAAGTGTAATGTGATAACTCCTTTAGCAAACAAGGAATAACATGTCCTATCTTATTCATACACTTATCTCCATTAGATTTCTAGTAAATCCAATGAATCACCCATGTACAACCCTTTAATAGGTCCATCGAAACATGTGTCAAATAGCATAAGTCTTCTAATGACACAATTGCAATGACTTCAAATATAAGGACCATTTGTACCTATCTCATATGAGATTCTCATAGAATAAAACCCAATAGGTTCTCTTGGTGAGTCAAGTCCGAGTGATATGTTCTCTAACATAAATCACCTAAGTGCTTGTTTTGGTATCACCAAGCCAATAGGTGTGAGATCTCCTATTATTATCATACGATACGCGCATAGCACAAAGCACTCACAAGTCTATGCACATATAGTCAATGTCCATTCTTGAAAATACTACAACTTGAGATGCTTAATGATATCATTTATATGTATTAGTGTTTGTCTCACATCTATCGATCAATCATTATTGCAACT